GCACCACTCTCATAGACAAATTACATTTCTAAATAAAGTGCTATATAAAAAATATATATGGTGAATGACATAAATAACTCAATAATAATTTTTTTTATTGAAAATAAAAAATTTTGAATTTGAATCTCATATCATATGTATATCATAGAGTAAGATAAAATAAGGAATTGAAAAATGTTGCTTTTTGCTGTACGGTCAACATAAAAAAATTATGAAAAGTACAGTCAAAGGCAAAGCTTTGATGCAATGATAGTGAGAAGTCATCACACCTTAAAGTTTCAAGTTTGTATTTTGTTATACGCAAATTTAGTTTTATATTTTTTAAAATTTATAATTTAATTTAGTGATTAACTCGTATTATATTGATTGGTCTGCCCATGTATATAGAATGATAAAAATTATACCCCAAGAAGTTAATTGATTGTTTAAGATATTGAAATTTTAAATTAAAAATTTCATATTTGAATCTTAAAAAAAGATTTAGAAAATAAGAAGTTTATCCTTTTTTATACATCATATCATCAGATATATTAAAAAAAGTATGATATAAATTAGGTCAAATCCTTTATTTGCATTATTGATATTATTATTTTTTACAATTCAATATTTTTAAAATTTTTAATTTCAATTAACACCTTTCATAATTTGAAATTCATAAAAAAACTTAAAAGTTAATGACCAAATTTCCTATTTACATCATGACCTAGTTGGTAGTTTGAGAATTTTTACAAATTTTAAATTATATAAGGTGGTAATTGAGTTTGAAAATGTTTAAAAGTATTAATTATGAAAAATAATAATATTTAAGGTACAAATAAGAGATTTAGGCTATAAATTATACTTATTAAAAAGGAAAAATAGTAAGTGGCTGATTGACAATGAGGCGCAACAACATGCATGTTTCTCAAAAAAAAAAAAAAAATATGCATGTTACTAGTGAGCTGGAAATGGCTTACAATGTGCTCCCACCAAGGTCAAATTTTGACCGTTAAATTGTTGTGATGAGTGGGACCATGGAAACAATGGCAAGGCCATGATTTGATTTGTGGGAAATTATTAAAGGTTGATGTTCGGTTGTAAGGTTGTTAGGTGGGAAATGGACTGATCATTTGCATTGGGTTGCAACCTCAGCAGATGAATTTGGTGATGATGTGGGTAAAAGAAATTGTCTGGATTGTTTTGTAATGGTCTTGATGGAATGGAATTGTGAGTGACATTTTAGAATGTTTGTGGGTTTTATTAATTTTGACATTTATATTTGCATATTTGATATTCCTCATGAATTGTCTATGTAATATAGTCTTGTTGTTTTCATTAAATGCAAATATCAATGCAAAATTGTCTTCTTCTTCTTCTCCTTTTTTGTCTTCTTCTTCTTCTTCTTCTTCCTCCTTTTTTTTTTTTTAATTTAATTTAAATTTTAAATTCTAAAGTGAGATTTAATTCACTCCACTCATATGAAAATATTACAATTAAAAATGATTATAACTATACATGGATTTAGTTAGCAATCAACCACATTTTTTGAATAATTGAATATATATATTGGATTTTAGATTGCATAATAAAAAGTAATTTTTTTTTATTTTTTAAGTACCATACTCGTATGTTATACAATTTAAACTTAAAATCAATTACTTTCAATAAAAGAAATTATCACTGAAATAAAATCGTTAAAAATAATATATTGATTATATCTTTAAAAATACGCAACAGATAGGGGCAAGGTATTGCAATTGGGAATCTGGGATTTTAACCTACATTCATAGCTTCATTAATGTGATCATTTTTGTCTATTTCACCTACATAGTGTAAAACTCGAATCTAAAATGCAATTTAGAAGCTCTTAACTTTCATAAGAATGAAATAACCTTTGTACCAATAGCCTCTGCAATAGAAAAGTTAATCTAGAATCCAGACGAAACGATCTTCTCATCCATTTAATGAGCAATGGAGAAAAGGAGATTGAACAGTAAATTGTAGGACTATGAAATTGAACTGTCTTTCCCTTACGAATTGTTACATTATTTTTGGTCCTAATTATTTGTGGCTATGAACTTGAACTGATTAAATAATTTAGTGTGTAGTGAATCAAGATTAAAAGGTGAGTTCTTTTGGAGCCTTTGCACGGAATGGAAAGCAGGTTTTCCACATGCAAATGATAGTAGCCTCAGCATTGAGCATTCAAGTTTCAATGCAACAGAACTAGTGCTCCTCTTTTATTAAAAGAGATTTTCAGCTTTTGAGGTCAAGGACGAGAACAAAGTTAAGCAAAAAGAAAAAAAAAATGGTGAGAGATATGCTTTTGCCTCTGCTCTGCTGGATCCTTAGTGGGGGTTGCTTGCACAGCTCCCTTCCCTGCAAGCTTTCTTTTGGCCTTTTTACATGCTTGCATCTGTACAACATACTGTATTGCACAATTGAGGGACAGGGTGTGTACAATGTCAACAGCTTGAGTTGAACTCAAGACTTAGGGTTGCCAAGCTCTTAAGCTTGAGACATGAACCATTAAGTCACCAAGGCCGAATTCAAAGAAATAAATAAATAAGTTGGTCAAATACATATTTTTATTTTAAATTATGATCAATAATATTAGAAGTCAAGAAGACAAGAAGTGCTTAAAGAGATTAAAGGGTAGGTATGTAGGGCTTCCACATAAAGTAAGCAAGCACAGGTTTCTTTAGATCATAGCTCCCCTTGTTTGTATTGAAGCTATCAATTAGTTCTTGACTGTATCCAGCCTGCATTACTTTTCAAGCAGGAAGCTCC